GTTCAAATGTTATCGAAGATGGAACGTGACAGACGTGAACAAATTCTGCACACTCACGTGTAACATCCAACGTGGTCAGGAGGAATGATTGCAAAGGCTCTCAAATTTCCAAAATCGACTGTAAATACCGTGCTTAAACGTTACCGGGAAACACTAACGTTGGATCGTGCAAAACAAAACAAAACGTAGAAGTGGAACATACAACCGAAAACTACGAGCGAAGGTCGATCGTGATCTGGCGAAAAGGTTCAGTGCGGCACACAGTTCAGTTCGGCGAATAGGTTTCCGGTCGTACCATGCCAACAAACATCCCAACAAGACGCTGAAACAAAACCTGGTTACCAAAAACCGTGCAAGGAAGCTGTACGAGCAAATTCTGATAACGGATGTATTTTGATGGACGATGAAACTTTCGTAAAAATTGACAAATCCCGGGCCAAAAACTTTACTTTGTTAATTTAAATCTGTATCTGCAGATAAATTTGCTCGCAAGTTGATGATTTGGCAAGGCATCTGCACTCGCGGAAAGAAAACAAAGGTTTTCATCACTGGAGCGACTATCAATGCACAATTTTACAAAAATGAGTGTCTCCAGAACATAATTTTGCTGTTCATTCAATCACACGAAGGTCCCGTAAAGTTCTGGCCTGACTTAGTCAGCTATGGTATAAAGCAGAATAATGTCGATTTTATTGAGAAAAGTATCAATCCACCAAATTGTCCAGATTTTCGTCCCATTGAATTATTTTGGGCAATTATCAAGCGCAAATTGAAGAAATGTGGCAAAACACTCAAAACACCATCTGATTTGGAGAAGTGGTGGAAAAGGATGGTAGATGAGGTTGACAGTACTGCTGTGCAAGACAAACATGATGAGAGTTATTCCGCGAAAAGTTCGAAAATTCATCCAAAAAGCTGACGAATACTTTTTTTTGTATTCTTTCCTTAAAGCTAAATAAAAATTCTACAAAATGATACCTTTGGCGTTTTTGTACTTTTTTCCCTTGGAGAAATGACCTATTTTGTGCGGCCAAATTTTAAATGAAACACACTTTAAACACCAAGATGGTAGCAAGCATTTCCAGGCCAAACAGCAAAACAACAGGCTTCTCTGCTTTGCATGAAACTTTGCGCAATTGAATGTTATGATCAATCATTTACATTTTAACTAAAATTCAACCATGCAAAAAATTTCAAAACACGCATTCTATATTTTTCAACAAATCATAACTCAAAAACGTCTCCTTCAATTGAAATGACGTATGAAACAAAGTAGTTGGAGCAAACAATATATTTTCACGAAAAATATGCCCGGTTAAAAATGTTAAACAACTATGGGTAGGAAATAAAAATAAGTATAATAACAAAAAAAAATAATCTCTGCAATTTTCGGAGACGAGCCAGCCAACGGCTGAAAGTCTCCTTAATAAAGATAAAAAAAAAAAAAAAAAAAAATCTCTGCAATATTTTTTTATTATGTTTCATTAGAAGGTTTATGAAAATACAAGCTTCTCTGATATTTTCAATTTGTACACTTGAAAGTTAACAAAAATCATAAAACAACAACTTTTGGTTAATTTTTTTTACGTTACTATTTGTGCTATAGATAGCGATAGAATAGTTTAAATAATGATTTTCTGTGCATAATATCACAAATAGTGTGCATAAATTTATAAAAAATAGACAAAAAAGTTCTAAAAATCTTCTTTAAGTTGTTGGTGTATGATTTATGTTAATTTGTAAGTGTTTATCTTAAAAATTTTACAGAAGTGCTTTTTTATGAAAAATATTTAGAAAAATATTGAAGAGAGCAATGCTCTGTTATTTCAGTTTTAAACACTTTTTATGATTTTTTACCCAAAATAATTTGAAATTTTTTACCATGTGAATTTTTTCTATAACTTTGTCACAGTCGATTGAAAATGACGTTTTCGAGTTATGATTTGTTGACAAATATCGAATATGCCATTTTGAAATGTTTTGCGAGATTCAAAATTGCCGAATTTCAGCTCAATTGTGAACGATCTTAACAAACAATTGTGCAAGGTTTCATGCAATTCAGAGAAGGTCGCGTGAACTGCTATATTGGTAAGAATCAATAGCACAAAAGCGACGCGAAAAATGTGGTCCACATACAAGAGGGTCAATGGACGAGCAATATAATCGGGCACGAACTATTTAAACAACGATGTTGCTTAATTGGATCAAAACGGGGCCTGTAACCAGACAAAACACTAATGTTTCGATTGCATAGGTGCATCGTGATCGAATGGAGCTCTGCAAGGTACAGACAGTTTAGAATCCTAAAGAAGGGTTCGTCGTTTAAATGGCGTTAAAGTTCTCCCTGATTTTTGCCTTTTCGAATAAATATTAAATTTTGTACATTTTAATTAGGTTATCAAATTAATGGTACATATCTTAAACCGTTATCACAGCGTACCTCAAGGGGAGTGCAGAAAATAATACATAAAGCTGCATGCAATCCTGTTAATATCACCCAATCTAGGTACAAGAAGGGTGCTTGTTAAGCATGGTTCCTTTTTTATTACTTCATTAGTGTGATCGTTCCATGAAATATCAAACCCGATTGATCGTGTCATCGTCCGTATGTTGATGGAGAATAAATTATCTACACCAAACCAAGTTTCAGTCCTTTTACTTGGACGCTTTGATTAACGAACGACACCGGGTAGAGAGAATCTGTTCCTGAAAACACGTAAACGAAAGATGCAAATAATAAACTTGTGTTTTCCCATAATGGCGCTTGGCACGGTTATGCGTAATCGCTTTCTCAGATCAATAACATGTACTCTGTCATACATAGGAGTTTAAATATTGGTTTGTATGTGAAGACGATTAACTTAGCGTTAAAATATGGACTAATAAACATTGTCGTTATTATTTTTCAAGCTGCGCTGTGTATGAAAAGGAAACCCTTAAACGACTTAAGAGTCATTGACGAGCTCCTGCAGCGTCGGTCAGCTATATTGCAGATGAAAATTAACATAATATTGCTAATCGATTTTTAACGAAACATTGAACGATTATCGAAGTTTATTATTTTTATTATTATTATTATAGAGTTTTGGCACTTATCAGCAAAAATGCTGGAAAATGTCACTTACCCGGGCTGTCTTTATGCCAAGGGGGCTAGGCTCTGTGGATCTCATTCGTCAGATGACTTACACCCTAATTTTATTGCTTCAGTCGGATCAGTTATGATAATGTAAGAACCGTCGGACAATACTACAGGTTCCAAGATTCACTGCTTTCTGAATGCTGTTCAGTTATCTTCGTAGTTCCAACTCTTCAAATACAGTTGGGAACAGGGAACAATTCCGCCAATTCCTCCGCCAAATCGTGGTACTTCAGTATCTTGGTCGTGAACTTTGACTGAACATTGCGATTTAACGGTACAGCGATATACCCGCTTCATCCTTTTGACGAAAACCACAATGTCAGGGTGATTGGCACGAATGTGGACATCCGTAATGATCTCGCGATCCCAGTACCCATTTTTATGCAACTATTTCCCAGTACCGGGTCTGGCAAGTACTTGTAGTAGGGTACGTACTGGTTCACCAAGTTGTGCTTCAGTGCACGTTGTTGGTGCACAATCTTAGCGACATCTTTGTGACGACCGAGATACGCTACTTCTGCCAACGCTTGGCAACCAGCAACAACACGTTTGATCGTCTCCCCTACTGCATTGCATTTTCTACACCGGTCTTCTACTTCTTCGTGCAATATGTACCTACGGTAGATCTTCGTTGCAATAACCCGATCCTGGATGGCTACCATGAAACCTTCATTCTCTGAGAAGAGTTCACCTCGCACCAGCCACGTATTCGTCGCCACACGCGCTTGTTCCAACTGATAGGGATGCGCCCCATGCAGCTCCTTCAGCTTCCACGATGCGACTTTATCTTCGACAGTTTTTAGGTCGCAATTCAACTGGTAGTCTTCCTGCGCCATATGCAGGGCGCTGCACCTGTGGTCTGCCTCACAAACAGCACGGTAGACTTTTTGACGGTTCTGACTTTCTACGAAGTAGCTCCGCAACTGCTGAATCTGGGAAACACATAGCACTTGGATATCAGTGATGCCTCTTCCTCCTTCATGACGTGGCAAGGTGACTCTCTCGACGGCCGACTTTGGGTGATGCATGCGATGCTAAGTGAACGCCACTCGTACTGCTCGCTCTATCGCCTCCAAGTCTGTTTTGGTCTACTTGATCACCCCAAAGCTGTAGGTCAACAGGGGCACGGCAAACGTGTTTATCACCTTTAACTTGTTGCCGGCCGACAGGAACGACCTCAGAACACGATAGATTCGATACAAGAACTTTTCCTGCAGTTCCTTATTGATCGTTGTATGGCGAATCCATTTCAGTTGCAGGAACCACAGGTACTTTTAGGTTTCGCCTTCAACCATATTCAGAATCTCCTCCTGTTCGTTGATGCGGGAACTGCCAGTATCCACTCTTGACCCCGACGGATATTGACTGTTCGAAATTTATCGACTCCAAACTCCATCCGGATGTCATTACTGAACACCGTTACAAGCTGCAAGAGACGGTGCAGCTTCTCCCCTGTTTCCACAAACAGCTTCAAGTCGTCCATGTAGAAGGTGTGGGTAGCATTTGTGCTTCTTTCTCCACTGTTCAAATGGTAGCCATAGTTGCATTGGTTGAGTGCTCTGCTGAGGGGATTCATCGCAAGGCAGAACCATAGCGGACTAAAGGTACCGCCTTGGAAAATCCCCCTTCTTATGCTGAGAGTTCTGGACCGTAACACCACTGCTCCGTCAGTAACGTGGAGAGATGTGCTCCACATTCCCATTGCGTGCTGCATAAGCCTGATGACTCCACCGTCCACCTTGTACAACTGCAGTACCTTGAGAGCACTTTTTACAGGCTCGAGGGACATGTTATTGGCCTGTACTTGGCTGAATTAGCCGTGTTTTGGTCCTTTGGCAGAAGATAGGCTAACCCTCTGGTAATGAATCTGATAGCTGTTGGGGGTTTTCTAGTACCATATTGAAGCATTCCGCCATCCGCCTATGGATTGAGGTGAACTTTTTATACCAGAAGTTATGCACAAAATCTGGTCCTGGTGCAGCCCAATTCCTGATATACCGGGTAGCCTCTCGAATATCCTGGGCGTATCGCCTTAAATTCTATTCTTTCAAATTAAAGTTTATTGAATGCTATAGATTTTACGAAACCGCAATATTTAACAAGTATTTAGCAGGCCTCCCTTAGCTCAATCGATAAGACGCAGCTTCAAAGCATAACCTTGCTGAAAGCGGAGAGTTTGATTCCAGGTCCGCTCTAGGATTTTTTGTTTCGAAAATGTTTAGACTCTCTTTGGCATAGAGCATCGTAGTACCAGTTAAGAGCAGACGTAAAGTTCCAGTTAGCACGGACTAACCAAAACTTAACGAAAATTTAGTATGGGATATTCATGGCACTACCGTAAGCATAATACTTGAGGTGCAGTTACTGGATCATTTCAAAAAAGTAAATCACTACATTCTTTCAAATTGATGGTAACTTCGGCAATTTCGATTGCCGAATCATTTAATTCGAAACTTATCACAATTCAATGCACTGAGCTCTCTGCTAACATACATTAATTATTGTTTTATTTTATCCTCCCATAGGACCGGTCCCGCAACGCATCGGAGCGACTATCGGCTACAACTACCCTTACCATTGATGTTGCCGATTCGGATGATCAGGATCCGTCCTTTATCTATCGAGGGTGTGTGCTGCTGGACGGTGCCTGTCTCAATCCGGAATACATCGCTTCCGTCCCAGCTGGAACTCTACAAGGCGTCCTTACCGTTACTCCGGAGCGAATACAAGCCATCGACCTGGACACGATCAGTGCGCCTATCCGATACTCATTCCTTAGTGGAATCCCAGGTAATTACGATGACTACTTCGAAATAGATTCCCAAACGGGAGTGTTGAAGCAAACCAAACTGGTGGACTCGTCTGTAACAGCGAAAAAGTACGATATTATCGTGAAAGCAGAAGAGGTTTCAGAAACGAAACGATTTGCAACGGCTAAGCTTACCATTCACGTTAAACCAATAGACGCATACCCTCCTGTTATCGGCATCACATCAACAGAGGGATATGTTGATGAAAATTCTCCAATAGGAACAACCGTAACAGACTCTAAAGGAAACCCGATAAAACTAATCACGACCGATGCAGATGCTGCATCCGAAAACGAACAAGCCGAATACATCTACGAAGTTACGACTCCGTCCTTTGTCGTGTCCAAGAATGGAATTCTTCAGGTTAACGAAGAAGGTTTGGACAGGGATCCACCCAGTCAGGGAAAGTACAGATTTCAAGTGGTAGCCCGTGAAGCAAATGGAAACGCTGCAAGTGCACCAATGAGTTTGACGGTTCACCTGAAAGATGTAAACGACAATGCTCCAAAATTGGCCATGGTACCTCTGGTTAGTTTGACTGCAGGAGATGGTCGACGATTGGTGACTAAGGTGACAGCAACTGACAATGATTCCGGCGAAAATGCTGTTATTACATATTCCATCTTTCATGTTTCAAACAATGGAGCCAACAAATTTGGCATGGATCCAAAGACCGGTGAGATTGAAACTAGAGCGAGATTAAACGCCGGTGAACAATACAGTATTACAGTTCAGGCTTCCGATATTGGAGGTTTATCTTCGCAAGCTATTGTTGAAGTCTCAGTGACTCCGGGACCGAATACAAAGCCCCCAAGGTTCGTGAAACCAGTGTACGACGTACAGGTCAGCGAGGGAGCCGAAATAAACTCTACTGTCATAGTTGTGAAGGCTGAGGATCCAGAGAACGATCCAGTAAAATACGCCATCACCACAGGAAATGATCTACGGCAGTTTTCGATCGGAAAAGAAAGTGGAGTTATCAGCGTCATTCGGAAACTTGACAGGGAAGACTTAACGAGGTACCAACTGATCATCAGAGCTGAAGATAGTGGGGGTCTGGCTAGCAGTGCTACTGTCAACATCAAAGTAACTGACATTAACGATAAAAATCCAGAGTTCGACGAAAGTCTGCTGCCATACGTGTTCACCGTAGACGAAGGAAGAGAGAACGCCGTAATTGGAATTGTTCATGCCACCGACGCAGATGAAGGCATGAATGCTGAAATAACATACACGATTCCATCTGATATACCATTCAAAATCAACTCTCGAACGGGGGAGATTAGAACAAAGTCTCAACTAGATTACGAGAAGCAGACAGAATACAAGTTTGTAGTTACCGCGCAGGATGGCGCGCCAGAACCACGACTGGGAACAGCAAGTGTAACCGTCAAAGTACGAGACATTCCTGATGAGGTTCCTAGGTTTCTGGAGTCAATGATCGAAGTCAAGATCCCGGAAAATGTACCAGATATGGTTGTCACAACTGTACGAGCATTTGATCCCGACACGAAACCAGAAATTACCTATGTATTGAAACGAGGTCCTGGCGATTTATTTAAGATTGATGCAAGGACAGGATTGATCAAAACTATTCGTGGATTAGATTACGAAAAGGATAAGATTCATGAACTAATTATAGGCACGGTAGAAAACAATGGCACCAATCCAGGAGATTACATTAAAATAATGATCGAAGTAGAAGATCGCAACGACATACCTCCTGTTTTTGTATCGATTCCGGAACCAATCAATGTCAACGATGACCTGCCAATTGGTACGATTGTAGGCTCGATGCCAGCCGTGGATGGCGATGGCTCATCGCCTGGCAATGTGGTTCGCTACGAAATGGTTGGCCGAGGAAAGGCCTTAAAATACTTCCAGGTAGATGCAGACTCCGGTATAGTTCGCATTCGTGACGAGCTCAACAAAGAGGATGATACAGAATACTTGGTTGATGTACGTGCTTACGACATGGGAGAACCTCAGTTAAGTTCGGTTGCAACCCTACCAATCTACGTCAGTCACATCCCAGCAAATCCAAATGACTCTGCGGAATCGCGAGTTGATGCCGGAGGAATCGTTAACCTTGAAGTACAAGGTCTTGCCTTCAGTGACGACAGCTACAGTACGAGCGTTCCAGAGTCTACGGGAATCAACGCCACCATTAAGCTTATCCAAATTATTAATTCTAAGAAGGCTACAAAACACAACGGAGGATTCCGATGTGAAATAATCAAAGGAAATAACTTCAATTTGTTCCGGATCAGTATTGAAGATCATGCTTGTGCGTTGGTGTTAAATGGACCACTGGACTACGAAAAAGCATCTAGTCATAACCTAGAGGTTCGCCTGGTATCCAACAAATATTTTGTAAACCAGCATAAAAATTTTGCTCAGCTTAAAGTCATTGTTCAAGATGACAACGACAACATCCCTATGTTCCAATTCCCTGTAAGCTACCAGCAGGGAGTTCGTAACGACACCTATTACACTGTGATCAGTGCTGAAGCCGATATGGATACGCCACTGATTACAGTAAAGGCAGTAGATAAAGACGCAGGTGTTTTCGGACAAATAAAATATAATATTTACGATGAAAAAGTAAACGAAATCCCAAATGACGACTCACCGAGTTCGTTCTTCACTATCGGTGAGGACAACGGAATGTTGAAGACCCAAAAGAGATTTCAAAATGTAAAACAAACTCCACTGGTACTTATCGTAGAAGCTCGGGATAACAACGGTGATCCGTTGGCAGGAGTAGTGCACAAAGCGAAGGCCAGGGTTGTAGTAAATCTGATCTCAGACATCAACCGCATGGCGCTGGTGTTTTCCGATTCCGCTCCCAAGGATGTGAGAAGACATGTGAGAGCATTGGAAGAGTTGCTGCATGAAAAATCTACAGGTCTCATAACCGGAATCGAACGGTTCAGCATTAGAAAGATTCTTAACGAAAATGGAACGGTTGAGGAAATCAATGGAGCAACTGATGTTTGGTAAGTTTTTTTTTTTTTAATGTTTATTCTACGAATAATTACTAAATGAAACTTTAATGTAGGTTCTATGCTGTGGATCCAATGTCAGAGCGAATCTTGGCACGTAATTCTACGTCGGTTATGAGTACTATCTTGACTCCAACCGTTTTGTCGCAAATTAATTTCGAAGCATCCAGCATAGCACGAGCGACAGCTCAGGGCATCTTTGGTCCAGTCGAACCGAAACAACAAATTCAAAAAGTTAAAGCAGCAGTAGTCGTTAATGACGATGTCTTTCCGTATGCTCTCATAGCTGTTGCGGTAGTAATACTTATTCTTGGATCGATTGGAATCGTCTATATTTGTATATCCTGGTCAAAGTAAGTAACTTTTGTTAATCATCTTTAGTAGTCTAGTATATCATCCATCCTATTCCGTAGATATAAAAATTTCAAACAGCGTATGCGCCAATATAATGCCCCTGCTAGCCCTGTACGCTATGATCCCGTTATAATCAACTCCCAAGCCCCTGCAGCAGAAAACCAAACTAGCCTAAAAGAGTACGAAACCCAGGTACTTGCAATGGCTGTCCCTGTAGACGAAGGCGACGACCTTCAGCTAGATTTTAGCGCCAAGAACCATGCCTTCAGTCTGGACAACGTTAGCTACATCACACACAAGGAAAACGGTATGTAACCCCGGTCCTAACCCGAGTGCTTTCTACGTTCTCTAGACGCTACTGTCTCGCTTTCGCTCTAGGTCAACACAGTCCTACGAACTCCGACGCGACGACCGCTGTTGTGGGTACTTTACATCGCAACAATAATAACAACACCAAAAACAATAACAACCTGAACATAAACAATCGACAAAACACCCTCAATCGAACTCTTGAGATGAATCGTAACAACTACCTGAATCCATTAGGTTCTGTCAGCAACGGAATATTACCGGGGACGCTGACCTTAGGGCGGATAAAATCCGAGAGAAACAACTACATCAATGGGTAAGAAAGATAGCTTTGCAATGTTCCATTACAGATATTCGTTATGAAAACTGTCCAATTCCAGCTACGGGGATACCCTCAACAGAAACAACCTGTCGATGGCCCAAAATAATACTTTCAACACGTTGGGCCGAAACCATCGGAACAATAACACCAACAGTAGCAACGTCAATAACATAAACCACCACCATCACAATCACAATCACAATGGTACCGGAAATGGGACGGAGATTGTTACTAATACGCTGGGAAGGAACAATCGCTACACATCGGACGTGCCAATCAGTAATCCCCTTTTCCACATTCGGTAAGTTGATTCTGATGTCGATTGATTAGGTAACCTACGATGTAATTTAAATCTGACCATATTCCTACATAAACTGATTAATATTTGAACAGTTAGCAATTACAATAGTAATAATGAAAAGTAACGTAGCTACCTTATTGAGTTCTCCAAGCAGAATTTTACAAACACTAATGCAGCGTGTAAATTCATAGTATTCTGATAGTTCTTACAGCAATACATATGTATGCAATTTTTATACAATACATATATGCATTTATGCAGCTGGAGACAAGGGGGGGAGGTGGCTGTCAAATACGAACAATCTTCGCCTACCTCGCATAACTGGTTCCAAACGAAAACAAGCCATAAGAAACCTACAGCGTTTGTTTACGTTTGGAACAAGTTTCATACAAGATGATCAGTAGGCTGATTTGACAGCACGTCCCCCCAGGCTGGAGAAGGCTACAGGCTATAGACTTCACTGACGTTTGTGAAATGCACAAGTATTAGTGCAGAACTTGGGGTAAATTATAAGTATTAGTGCAAGAAAACTTTTGAATTTACCCAAAGTTCTGCACTAATACTTGTGCATTTCACAAACGTCAAAGAAGTCTATAGGCTATATATATATTAGTCCTGATCAATGAGGTTAATTCAAAGTGTAAGTGCAAGAAAACCGTGTACATATACTCACACCTATAGTTATGAAAAACCCAAATGAACAATCGTCAGAAAAGTCTATTGGCTCTGGCTATGCATTAATTATTTCACGCAAAATTATTGGCACTAGATTGCGAAACAGAGACCGATGTTAAATAAACGAATCATGAAAAATTAGAAAATACCAAGCAACCTGGTTTATACAAGATGTGAAGATCTAGTCCAGTCTTGGGCGTATCCAGCGAGCCATCCTTCAGCTTGCTCACAATCTCCGTCACTGGCGAGAGACAAACAGACGAGCACTTTTGCAAGCCGTAAACTTGCTGATTCACGGTAACGTCGGCCACCGAATCACCACCAAAACTCACGACGGATACATTATCAGCACTTTCTCCGGCTAATTTGCCAACCGGACCGTGTTCAAACCCGCCCACGGTGTCGAGACTCTCGATAGAACTACACGCGTATAGCGTGATATCCGAATACGGTGAACCGGGAGGCAATGAAAATCACAAGCGAAGAACGTGCGAAAGCAAACTCGTCGTCGTCGAACGGCAAAAACGGAACTCGGTGAGCAATTTTGTGATACGGAGTTTCCATTGAAAATCAACCGGGAATGCACGAATTTACCCACACCTAACTGCGAGAGGCACTTTTGGTACACTTTCAATCAGGGTGTCACAATATCAGCTTCAATCGACGAAATCGATGCGACGAAGAGAGCTGGCTTTCTTTTTCTGTTAAAGTTGAACAGCTTCGTAGCATTCTAGAACCTCAGTCTTTCTCCCAAGCTTCGGTGAAACGGGCGAGCGAAAGAGCGCTCGACTTTGATAGTTTCGTCTTTCATGAAACACATCAACAGAGGTTTCATGACGTATATGACGGAAAATGAAAATATATATTTAAAGCATTTCTCACGGGAAAGCACTTGAAGATTATACGTAATATGTTTAATTTATCTTCCATCCACATATTTATCTAAAAAAAATTGACGAAAACGGAACACAACGCATTTTAAACTAATTCAAAGAGCGGTGATATAATGTTCGTGAAAGGGATTGAAAGCCATAATGAGGTTTCGTTTAACTAGAAAATCGACGTAACATACATTGAAAGCAACGACGAGAAGATCCACAGTCAGCCTTTCCTTCTAAGCGTGCTTCCTTTTCATTTTCGTTTCTTGCTGATAGTCTAGCTAGGCGTTATAAAAATTAAACATTGAACACGTTGCATGAGAGAAACAAAACTCAAGTTCATTTTAGAACTTCGAAAATGTAGAGCCCTGCTTTCGATATCAATTTCGGTCGAAAACACTTAATTTTTTGCAAAAATAGTTGCCAGCGAACCAACATCAACACCGACCGTACCGAGCTCTTTCACGCACCTTACAGCGCGTAAATAAACTGAAATTAAAAATTATCACTCGCGATGCCACAAATTTCTGGTCCGGGAGAAAAAATCAAACAATGATGCTTGCAAACACGACGAATCAAGTTTTCTTTCTCGATTCTAAAACTTCCCGGAAAGCGAGAAAACAACCAATCGCACACGTGTTACCGATTGGGAGGCAGAGTGCCAGCGCTAATCAGGCAAATGCAGCCGAAAACTATGAGAGCAAACTTAAAACACAACCGTATCTGAAGGGGTTCGAAACTGCACCTGGAAGAAGAAGAGCAGTGGAAGAAACATTACGAGAATAAAAAATACGAACCGAGAAGGATTGGAAGATTACGTCACAGAGATTTCGTTGCAGTTCTTCGAAACAAAGACTATTTCAAGACTTTTCCGGGTTATTTCCAAACTAGTTAAAAAAAAACAAAACTCTTCAGACCACGGAAAAGGGAACTTTCAAGTACAAAATAAGTCGACTCTCTTGTTGAATTTCTATTCTGAACCTATGTTCAAATGTGTGCTGGAATTTGACCATTCCCACTCGTTCCCAACCTTTAAACATAGCATGCTTGACATTTAATTTCTCAACAAAATACAGCACGAAGCCGGCTCTTCGAAATGATGCCTAAGACAACGTTGTACATAACATAAAAAGTTAAAGAACAGGAACGAACTCACCAAATAAACGATGGTTCGCCGTGAAGCAAAAACCTGAAAGACTATTCCATCTCCTAATTCTAGTTCAACATTTCACAACATTCCATTGGATCTTCAAAGAATCTCTTGCACAATTCGCCTCTAATCAGAATCCAGTTAGCGAAGTTAGCGATTTTCAGAGTTGGTTGGAAATGCTAACATGAAGCTTTAGTTTGATAATTTATTAGCTAGTGAATGATCTTTAGAAGAGGGTAGGTGAATAGTTCCGTTAGAGTACGGCAGTATGAAAATTGAATAAAAGTTTGAAAATGAGCGAAGGGCCATTAATGCGACAGTTTTTGAAGTCAGACGCACATCTTTTGCCTAACCCGTACACACTTAGATTTTTTCGCCGAGATGGGCACCACCGAGCAGCTCGGCATTTTATTTTGCTGCATCTCAGTTAAAAACTTGCCGAGATCCAGCAAACAAACGGGAATTTTGCCGAGATCTCAGCTAACAAACATATTTTTTGCTGAATTTCCAGCAAAATAAAATACCGAGCTGCTCGGTGGTGCCCATCTCGGCAAAAAAATCTAAGTGTGTACGATGTACGCGGAGACTTGAGACGTGGGGCTTTAGGTAGTGATGAAACGTCGCTAGAACTATTCCACAGCCGCAGTCAGTTATGAGCAGAAGGAGGACGCACATCTTTTGCCTGTATACTTGAAGACATACTTCAAGTCTCCGCGTACATCGTACGGGTTAGGCAAAAGATGTGCGTCTGACTTCAAAAACTGTCGCATTAATGGCCCTTCGCTCATTTTCAAACTTCTATTCAATTTTCATACTGCCGTACTCTAACGGAACTATCCACCGACCCTCTTCTAAGGATCATTCACTAGCTAATAAATTATCACACTAAAGCTTCATGTTAGCATTTCCAACCAACTCTGAAAATCGCTAACTTCGCATATGAAGTAACATAAAAACACTTTGGACCTTTTTATGTTTGAAAGCTGACTTTTGAATTTCACTGTTTAGACTTATAAATTCTGTTTCATAGATAAAACTTATAATTTCCATAATAAATGATGTGGTGAAAAATTATAAATGATTCTTATGGAATTCTTTTATTTGCCTCAGTTATGCAAAACCGTTTACTTTTTTCTTAAAAAAGCCAACTAGAATTTGTGTCAGTTTAATTTTACGAAGGTTTTGCTCAGTAGTCAAACCCCTAAGCTCGATCGATCGTTATTAATTAACTTATCCTCTCTTTTAGGCAAAACGGAGATCTGCAGTCTCAGCCCCAGCTCAACCATACAAGTCCCACCAACGAGAATGTAACCTTCGGTAAAAGAGACTATAACCAACTTCCATTCTCCTACCTTAACGATCTGGATCGATCGGATGCAGAAACGACTACTGAACTATAGGTTTTAATAAAATTTAAAATTATCAACACTCCAACGACCACCGAAGAAATTCGTTTTCTCACCAAAACGGCTAACCAAGTCAATGGTCTGCGGAGAAGAAAGAATGGTGAGAACAAAATTTACAATAAAAGTTCAAATTTGTGAGAAGCCATCCTGGAACGAATGTGTAGATCAACTGCCTTTTGAGTTAGTGTATAGATATTTTAACCGTTGTTTTATTTTTGTTATGTCGTAAGATTTTACCTCTAGATAGCTGCAATATTTTTATTTGTTTTCAATCTTTTTTTTTTTTACATTTATGTAAACCTATGTGGCATTTTTCTATATAAATATCTACACGATTCTTAACAATCTAGTTTTATATACATAACACTATCCCTTTCTTATCACTGAGTCGATTAACTGTGACATTCATATTTATAAAGAAACCCGAACGAATGAAATATTATAAAAAGTCTGCTTCTTTGTAAATAGTAAGGATATTGCGCTTAAATAGTAGTACCGAACTATTTATGTTGGTACACACTTCATCCATAATGTACATATTGAGTCATTCGATTAGCTGATAAGATAGGATCGAAAATCAACAAGAGGTTTAATTAAATAATTAATATGAGCTATGGAAAATCGTTCACCGTCCCAATGCAATGTTTGCAGTGCGATTCTTCCAGGAACTGAAGCTGTTTATGGTAGAAAAATTGTAGATTTTTAATTATTTTACTTACGGCTACAGTATTGTTGGTTAGGGATAGAAACTATCCTTTACAATTTTTAAATAAGTGTAAAAAGAGACGCATACACGCTCTGGAGAAAGAGGAAAAATAGAGAAGAAATATTACTCAGTATATTGTAAAACCAACCTGATTGAGACGAAATAAATGGAGAGAGAGAGATTATCAAATAGAGCTGTTTTACTTTCGTTCAAGTTATGATATATTTTGGCCCACAATCATATGTTGGCCCACCTGGCTATATTTTGCACATTTTACCACGTTTAAAATATAAAACTTTAGAATGTTGTGAAAGTTACATGATTTTTTTTACAATACCTAGCTCATTCCGTTTTTGTTTTCAGTAGAAGCTTCCATTTCGTGGTAGTAAATTGAAAAAAAAACTCACGCATTTTCACACTCGTGCTGAATTGGTCCACAATCAATAGAAGACTGCATAATTGAACCCAACTTAACTTAACTTAAAATGTATATATTTTGAACATGTGAATGTGAATGTTGCGTCAATTAAATCCCACTGCATCCGTTTTTTAGCTCGAAGAAGCGATAAAATGTGTTAAAATAGTGATCTGAGGCATGACAAAAATATGTTCGCCATTATCTGGAGAAAACATATTTTCACCATACCTGCTATAACCAATTCTGACAGCGCTTTATCATTCGTCTAAAGACTGGAACGCGCAAAAATTGGTCGACAAAAAAATCGTTTCTTTCAGTCAAAATTCAATTTTTGGATGGGTTTTAATGCTGCTTGAACCTCTAAAGTCTATCACCCCTATTCTGTATTTCGTTTCGAACGAAATTCTCATACAAAAAAATATTTTTTTGTATGAGAATTTCGTTCGAAACGAAATACAGAATAGGGGTGTATGTCAGGTAACCAAGAGCAAATCGAAGATCGATGATGGGCAATGCTGAACCGAAGAAAGAAATATTTTATCAGAATATTGGATGGACCAGCCGGATTATGTGTTTGATTGCAACTTCATTTTGGAAATCGACCTTGAAGCACCCGAAAATGAGACAGGTTACGGAAAATCAAGTCAGTTCGCGAACCGACAAAACCAGGAGATGATGTACTGGAGCCAAAGAATGATTCTAAATTGCACCGCAGATTGCTTTCAGAATTCTTTGAATCACCAGAAACGCAGCATCACACACAAAAGATAAAAGTCCACCTGTTCTCACTTCGCGTCGTAGATTGCTACCACAAAGCTGTTGAGGAAGAGAAGAAAAGAGAAGCTGAAGAAAAGCAAAAGAAGGCTGAAGAGCGAAAGAAAAAACAAGCACAAAAATCGGAGGACAACACAACAGAAGGCTTAATAACGAGATGAGAGCCAACAAGCAATGAAATCAAATACACTGGAGTCGCTTTTAACGCGGGTGATTCGTCCCGCGTAAAAAAAAACCGTGTAAATTCCGAAATCCGCGTAGAAAAAAACCGCGTAAAAAAGATCGTGTAAAAAAAAACCGCGTAAAAAGCGTACATAGGTACATAGGATGTGCAAACAAAAATACTATCCCATCTGGCGGATGAAAGCAAAAGCTTCTAAGAAAATTCTATTACAGCGAACCACATTATTTTAATTGATTTCTTCGTCAGTTAGTCGTCTGTCACTTCGTTTGTGATGAAACTCCTCATTTGCTTATTTAATTCACACTTCTAAATTAACATTGTCGAGATAATTGTGTTTGGATATGCGGAGCAAACTTGACAAAGGTAAAAAGTTTGCCTAGACTTTGAAAAAAAAAAAAACGGTGAGTTTCATTTGTGTCGGAATACTTAAAACGAGGTAAACATAAATAAGAGACAAAGTGAGTAGGAGTTACTCACTTTACTAAATCAACACTGATAATAGACGAGGCTCGGTAGCTCAGTGGTTACCGTTTCTGCTTACTGAGCCGAAGGTCGGGAGTTCAATCCCAGGCCTGTCCCCTTCCTTGCAATTTTTCACTTTGCCTTATTCTATACCCACTAGATTTTAATGAAAACAAATTCTTCTTTAACACCGATCGCATCACTTACCACAGTGTGGGTCCTGATCTAAAAATATAAATTGAATGAGTGCGCACGCGGGTGTGTGTGTGTATGTGTGTTTGTGTATAATCGCTCTACCAAAAACGATCCCTGTGTGTGCGTGTGCAACCTTTCCCCCACATCCAACATCCCAGTGATTTCTCGTGGAAGCGCAGAGGACTTCTCGGTTTCCTTCACAGCGAGTACCACGTCAACACATTCCTTCGTTTTTCGTTCCCTAGTTGACCTGCATTCGGACACGGCCGGCGCTGGTATTGCTAAATATTAGATCTCCAGTTCTTACACATTGAGGATGAATAAAATTTAATACTGGAAAGATTATTTCGATTTTAATCATGCATGACTACTGCCGAAGTAATCATGGCTCGAACTCAATAAGTTGAAGCGGGAATATGCATACTTTTTAAGGTTTTTTTATTTAATTTATCTTTGAGTGAATGTTCCACAGTTTTTGACATTTTGATCGAAATTAAGAAATTGAATAGAAGCTACTCACTTTAGAGGAAACTGAGCAAGCGTGCATGCTATTTTTAGTGACCCGAAAATGTTGTCATCCTTAAGAACCAGGTGGCACCACATACATTTTTTTTTTTGGCTAGGATTTTGGTGCCCGAGTGGGTGTCTCAGATGATGCACACGCTATTTCAAAACTTCCCAAATTTGGGTAGAATCCACCTAGATCGGTCAAATCTGAACCTACCCAAAATGAGTAAACTATGTTGGGAGTGACAAGTTGACAAATGAACACAGTCGATCGGATTCACGTCGATATAGTCCATTTGTCAACTTGTCACTGCCAACACAGTTTATCCATTTTTGGGTTGTTCAGTTTTGACCGATCTGGGTGGATTGTACTCAAATTTGGAACTTTTGAAATACCATGCTCGCATTTTGAGGAAATTTTGGGTTTGGGTTCTATTATTAATGCAGATTACGAATATGCATTAACCTCAATACCCTTAAAGAACCCAATTCTATCTAATTTTCTTTCATTACAAGACTGCCCTAATAAAAATTGTATGGTTAATTTGCTTAACGACGTGTTCTGGGTATCATCCAAACCATTTATGGAATAGTTCAATGATTTGGGTTATCGTTCGTTTATGGTTATTTTTTATTAGGGTGATGAGTTGAAAAGTTTTTGTATGAAAATCATTCACACAGTGTTCTGTTTTGATTGTTGTATGTATGATTATTTATAATGCTAATTTTTAATTATATTCATACATTTTGCCTTGATTCTATCAAAAGATGAATTGAATGACGATCTTCTTAAAATCATCTGATAATAAGCATGGGGCTTGGGTGAGGCAAAAATCGTTCAGTAAACGGCGGGTGTTTACGTTCAGTGTAGGAATGTATCCGAACAGGCATGAAGCAACTATTAGGTTTTGCACCGTCGGGGTTAACCTCAATCTGATGACAGTTCAGTGGTACTGTTTACGTGGACTTAGTCGATTTTTTCTTGGGTGGATTTTCTCGATATTTTTTTAGACTGCAGTGAGATGTAAACAGCATTTCTGCAATGTTCACGAGCAACATCCTTGCAACGCGCTGTTCCTCGACAATTTTCAAGTTAAAATTCGGATATTTTAAAATATATTTTTTTCGAAAAAACGACTAAGTGCTTGTAAACAGTACCACTGAACTGTCAAAAAGGTTCAGCCTATTAACACTGAGTTCATTTGTGACGTCACACTGCAGTACCTAATTAGGTTTTCGAAAAAACAAATTCAAAGATTTCCGAATTTTAACATGAAAATTCAGGCATAACATTTGATAACGACACAAAAGCATTTGTAAACAAACTTTCTAAGACCCTTCACACGCGAACCAAAGTACGCCCACGCAAACCAACAACGTTATCGGATAGGGGCAACTATCATCTTTCCGAAAGTGGTATTGGTTTGCGTGGGCGTACTTTAGTTCGCGTGTAAAGGGCCTTAGAAAGCTTGTTTACAAATGTTTTTGTGCCGTTATCAAATGTTATGCCTGAATTGTCGAGGAACAGCGCGGTGAAAGGATGTTGCTCGTGGACAATGCAGACGTGTGGTTTACATCTCACTGCAATCTGAAAAATTATCGAGAAAATCTACCCAAGAAAAAAACGACTAAGTCCACGTAAACAGTACCATCAGATTAGGCTGTGAACCATTTGCCGAGTTAAATGGTTAAAAGTGACATTTCGAAAGTTATTTTCTATGTTCGAAAATCCCTGTGCTGTCGCTCGACCGGTTTTCGAGCCACGGTTGTCAAAATTTAACTTCTTGTCTGTCAGAAATAACCATGCTCAGATAGCAGGGTTAATCGATAACTTTCCATCTGTCAAATTTTAACCAAAAGTTAAAATAATCCACCAAATGGTTCAGAGCCTTAGTGCTTGTAAATAGTACCACTGAACTTTCAAAAAGGTTCAGCCGATTAACACCCTACCTATCGACCCATCAACTCATGAACCGGGGACCAACGGCTTTACTTCCCATCCGAATGAAGGCGTGATCAGAGATGTTATGCCTCAGAACATCCCGGCGGCGCCGACTGGGATTGAACCCAGGCTTGCTGGGGTGAGAGGTAATCACGCTTACCACTACACCACCGGCGCCGTTACTGCAGTACCTAATATTGATTTCGTTCCAACTGCTGATTCTAGCCCCGGGAAAAGCATCACCAATCAACCCACCTATACGACAAGCAGGTGGAAAAGGAATTCAGATCATTTTTTCCACTCAGTCCAAGTTGTACTCGTCGCTGCTGCTGCTGCTGCTACTAAAACGAACAAAATGTAAAAAATTTCTCAGTGCTAGAAGCAAGGTTTGAACCTCCATACCGCAAAGCTGGTTTATCCACCACTGATGGAGCGACATCTGACGGAATTGATAGTGGAAGCTATTACTCAATAATTGTAAATCGCGATTAGATAACAACTGTCGTCGGTTCGGTTCGTCTCGTCTCGTTTCGCGAAAAGCGTTTTATTTTGATCATTGTTGGTATCCGATTACGGTATCTTTGTTTTGATCCGCACTTGGTGACGATAAGAACGCCTGCAGCACGAGATTTTTAGTAGATTCAGCTGGTTCGAAATGAGCGGAGCACGAGACTTATCAAAGTTAAATGTTGGTTTTATAGGTGGTGGAAACATGGCATATGCCATTGCGGCAGGATTGTTCAAAACGGGTGTGTTGGGCTCTAAGCTGATAAATGTAATTGCTGATAACATAATTTGTGCGTGATTCTAGGTGTTCTCAAGCCAAGCCAAGTTATTGTGTCTGCAACTAATCTGAAGAACCTGAAAACGCGGTGGAGTCCTTTGGGCGTTAACAGGGTCACCACAAGCAATGCACAAGTTTTGCTCGAAGCCGAAATCATTTTTCTCAGTGTGAAGCCACACATCCTCCCGGTTTGCCGTCAATCAATCTTAGATGAAGCGGATTCGCTGGAAAACCTTGCGGCGCATTGTGGAGAGAAGGTTATGGTTTCCATTCTGGCAGGAGTTACCCTGGAAAAGTTGAAAGACACATTTTCCTTTTTGAATATCCAACATGTGCGTACGATGCCCAATACCCCAATGCAAGTAGGAGCTGGATGTACCATATACTGCGGGGGATTTGACAACAACTGTCCAGGGGTAAATAGCTACAATCAATGCATTTGAGTTCTTCTGACCATTTTTGTTTTGTAGGTGGTATTGAGCTACTATGAAGACATTAAATTTATGCTGAATCAGCTAGGGCAAGCGTATGAAGTTCAAGAGGCTCAAATTAACGGAATTACCGGTCTGACCGGTTGTGGTCCTGCTTATGTTTATGAGATTATCGAAGCCTTAGCCGACGGTGGCGTAAAGCAGGGTATTGCTCGTGAAATGGCTATCAAAATGGCAGCCCAAACTGTGTTGGGAGCTGCAAAAACTGTGCTGGAAACTGGAAAGCATCCAGCCGTGCTGAAAGATGAAGTTTGTTCTCCGGGAGGCGCCACCATCTACGGCGTTCATGAGCTCGAAAAAGGAGCAATGAGAGCAACGTTGATGAATGCGGTTGAAAAGTCTGCTGCTCGGGCAAAGGAGTTGCAGTGAAGTATTGAAGCATAAATCTTGTTTAGACATGTTTTCGTTATTTGTACTATTCACTGTTCAACGTTGATGATATTCATAAAACAATAATATAATATTCATCGGCGTATGAAAGTTAAGCCCGATTTGTTCGCTCAATGAGAAAGCCTTAAGGGAAAGTGGGACAAGATGGCAACCCTAACGAAACTCGAATAAAATTCCACAATAAATTTAAATTCCCAGGAAATAATTATTCATGCATTAAAGTTTATGAGAGATTTTGACCCCCGACAAATAAGATTGCTTAAGCGTATTTTGTAGTTTATTGTAAATGTATCAGTTTATTTCTTTATTTTTGCATTCAAATATACACTAAAACTAAAGCAACACTAAACCATATCTTTCTTGCTAACATACTCCACACATCTGGATGGATCGGTAGGGAAATAGTCCTGCATTTTTGTCATCAATCGTTTCAATCCTTGGATGTACTTTCGCTGGGTTTCGTCGTTCATCACATGGGCAACGTTTTTCGAGAAGATCTTCTCACGACCGGTACGAGCATGGATACCAACCATAGTGACACCGATTGGCCATGGAGCATTACCGATAGCCATCGTAAGGTACGCATCGCTGGCGTGAATGTAATCCCTCTTTAGTAGACTTTTGGTAATATCCGTCAAGCTGTCCAAAATATCTTCTGGAATACTTTTGTTGCGTAATTTTCTTAGCAATGGTTTTAAGTAAAGTCGAGTCTGCTCGAACGTAGCTCTAGCTATTTTCCACTTTGTCGCTGTACGTTCCGCCGTTGTTCCAGAGTTCAGCTGATCATTCCACATTTTAAGCATGAATTGGATCAAGGTTGTAATAACGTGCATATCATGTTCTTTGCCACTTCTTCCCAGACGAACGGCCATTTCCTGTATCGATTCATAGGTTACCGAATCATCTATGGCATAATCTTCATTCGAGCTCTTTCCTTTGCTTAGGCCAGTACCACTGGAAGTTAAAATTTCATTTAAATATTCCTCGTCTACTTGCTCCATTGCTTCTTGGAAATCATTTCGAAAACCACGATTAACCTCCGGTGCCGAAATCTCCAGCTGGCGCAACCGAGAGCATGAATCCGCTTCACTTTCTCCAAAGAGTAAAATTGGTTCTCCTCGTTCACGCAACTTTCTTATCACTTCCGTGCGAGGCAGGTTCCGGAAATCGAATTTAGAATCTTTTGTCGGGGATTTATCACCATCGGCGCAATTGGCTTCTGATTCTCCGCTACCGCTTGCCAGTTGGTTATATTTCTCTTTGTATTCTTCCTGTTCCTGGGCCAGCAATTCCCCTCGTTTAAAATATTTTTTCTTTTCATCCTGAAGAATAGCGAACAGCTTAACTAATTTCTAGGATCTACCGAAGACAACATGTCAAGAGGACTGGCAACTCATACATTGGCTATGACACAGGCACAATTGCGTCACCTACTGCTTAAGTGTAAATGCTCTGGCCGAATTTATAGCAATTATTATTTCAATTCCAGAAGACTTAGTGTATGTGTATTTGCTATTTTGCTTTGCTATTGACGCATTGATTCTGGCTAAGTTACCAGTCTTTTTGATACCTATGTTGCCTTTGAGTCTGTTTAGCATCTATAAGTTCAAGGTTGATACTTACCACAAGCTTTTTGTCCTCCAAAAGCTTCCGTTTGCGTGCTATCTCTGCTTTCAGTACATCCATCGTATTTCCAGAATAGTTTTACGAAATTATATAGAATATTTCCAATATTTTAAAACTCGTGAAATTTAACAATCAATAACAAAGGTTTATCTGCAGTTTCTTTTTGACAGATAAATCTTTGTAAACAAGCTCCAACACGGTAGTTCGAGGTTCCTCAAAACTGAGTCCCAACTACACATTTTTTACCCTAACTCACGGTATGAAAAAAGTACTCAACGCATTAGTAAAAAATAAAACTGTTTGCCTGTGCACACGGCGAATGAGAACGACCCAAATTTGAGTTTAGTTCAATCATAATCGCCAAAAGTGCAGGAACTCAGCGATGAGTAAAATTTATCTCATGGTTTCCTGTGGAAAACCTAAAAAATCTGCTGGAAAATGAGGAAATTGACGAATATTTTAATCAGTCTCGGAGAAGTACCAATAGACTGAGTGGATCCAATCTTTACTTTTCTCAAATTAGGGAATTTTTCCCTGGAAAAACCTGGAAAAACCTGGCCGTGCATGCACGTTTATTTTAACCATTTTTGATTATATATGAATATACTTTGGAATATACACAGCAAATAAAATTGTAACATCGATCAACGTAATTCAAGCTGATGTACGAAATATTGATGGAATAGCAAAAAGCAGATACAATATTACATCCGTGGATGTAAATTAGTTCACGATTTTTGTGTACATCGTGCAATGTAATATCACGCAATCGATGGAATGACCTGGTTGCAGCAGTTTGGATGTAATATTCAACAACTTTTTTTGCTGTGTACTCAATAATAAATAACAGATCTGATGAGTTTTTTTTCGGTTTACCAATAAACATAAAATAAATCACAAAAATCTAAAAACATGAGTAAGCGTTAAGGAAACAAACATAGCGTAGGATTCCGTCAATTTGATACACCGCGCGGCCGGCGCCGGTGGTGTAGTGGTAAGCGTGACTGCTTTCATTAACCCCAATGGGTCTGGGTTCAATCCCAGCCGAGGTCGGTGGGATTTTTCTGAGGCATAAAAATCTCTGGTCACGTCTTTCTTCGGAAGGGAAGTAAAGCCGTTGGTCCCGGCCCATGTGTGTTGAATGGGTGCGATATCCTACGCAGGTGTGGAAGCTGCCTTCCTGCACATTCGATTGCCGTCGATGGATGACAATCGATGTCCGTCGGTGATTGGCACTAGATTGCGGAACAGAGGCCGACGTTAAATAAAGGAAAGAAGAAGAAGATACACCGCGCGGCATTTCAATTTTTCTCAAACGCGCATTTGCATAAAATTCTCCGCGGCCTTTGGTTTGTGAAAGGAACGGCCGCGTCGAGTGAAATGTCGCAATGTTATCTTCAATAAGGATTGAGTAAACCTGACGCTGAAAGCGCGGCGCGCACTTGCCTAAAGCAAAACGCCGCGTGTTATTTTGTGCAAACAACTTATTGCGCATTTCACACCAAACTGGACTAAAAAGCGCGTTTTCACTTATTAAAAAGTGTGATTAAAGTGCGAGCTTCCGTCTAATCGTCTTAGTGTCTTGGGTGCACTTATTTCTTAAGATGAAGCAATAAGTGCTCCGAAGACACCAAACCGATTTGAAAATTTAAATTTAAATTTGTTCTTATTAGAATACGGCACCCTAACACAAAATGTTTCGTTGTATCATTGATGTAAGTACTGCACTAGTAGGATGCAATGCATATTTCAATACATTTTACGTTTCACATCAGCTAAAAAAACAAAGGAAGTTTGTGTAGCAACCAAGCAAACAAACTAATGCTAAATATTTTTGAAGTATTTTTAAGTATTTGAAAATATTTATAGGTATCTTTGATATCAGTATGAAATACCAAGAGAAATACAAAGTTTAGAGTGGGATGCCCCTAGGCGTGCCCCTTGGTTTATACTCTAAACATATGAATTATTCAAAGTTAATTGAAAGCATGTTTAAAACTAAAATATTTATGAAGTAATGAAATTGGGTTGTTAGCGGAATGCTTTAATAAAACAGCAAAAAAGGTTATCTTCCATTTAATTCCACTTAATTAATTTTGGTATCCATGACAGATACGTATTTCGACTACAATGTGCAGTCTTCATCAGTGTCATTCCCACTAAAGAACTTATCAAAATCTAACCCCCTTAAGTACTCATCCCCTAGGTATAAAAGTCAAGATCACAGGTATATAAATGAAACTACAATGTGTTGAATCGGAACCTACCTAACTAATTAAAACCAAAGATTTAAGTAAGCTAAAGGAGAAAAATCTATTCAACTCTCTAATAAGGAAAATCCCAAAGGCTTGGTAGCCATCATAATGAAGTAATGAAATTGGGTTGTTAGCGGAATGCTTTAATAAAACAGCAAAAAAGGTTATCTTCCATTTAATTCCACTTAATTAATTTTGGTATCCATGACAGATACGTATTTCGACTACAATGTGCAGTCTTCATCAGTGTCATTCCCACTAAAGAACTTATCAAAATCTAACCCCCTTAAGTACTCATCCCCTAGGTATAAAAGTCAAGATCACAGGTATATAAATGAAACTACAATGTGTTGAATCGGAACCTACCTAACTAATTAAAACCAAAGATTTAAGTAAGCTAAAGGAGAAAAATCTATTCAACTCTCTAATAAGGAAAATCCCAAAGGCTTGGTAGCCATCATAATGAAGTAATGAAATTGGGTTGTTAGCGGAATGCTTTAATAAAACAGCAAAAAAGGTTATCTTCCATTTAATTCCACTTAATTAATTTTGGTATCCATGACAGATACGTATTTCGACTACAATGTGCAGTCTTCATCAGTGTCATTCCCACTAAAGAACTTATCAAAATCTAACCCCCTTAAGTACTCATCCCCTAGGTATAAAAGTCAAGATCACAGGTATATAAATGAAACTACAATGTGTTGAATCGGAACCTACCTAACTAATTAAAACCAAAGATTTAAGTAAGCTAAAGGAGAAAAATCTATTCAACTCTCTAATAAGGAAAATCCCAAAGGCTTGGTAGCCATCATAATGAAGTAATGAAATTGGGTTGTTAGCGGAATGCTTTAATAAAACAGCAAAAAAGGTTATCTTCCATTTAATTCCACTTAATTAATTTTGGTATCCATGACAGATACGTATTTCGACTACAATGTGCAGTCTTCATCAGTGTCATTCCCACTAAAGAACTTATCAAAATCTAACCCCCTTAAGTACTCATCCCCTAGGTATAAAAGTCAAGATCACAGGTATATAAATGAAACTACAATGTGTTGAATCGGAACCTACCTAACTAATTAAAACCAAAGATTTAAGTAAGCTAAAGGAGAAAAATCTATTCAACTCTCTAATAAGGAAAATCCCAAAGGCTTGGTAGCCATCATAATGAAGTAATGAAATTGGGTTGTTAGCGGAATGCTTTAATAAAACAGCAAAAAAGGTTATCTTCCATTTAATTCCACTTAATTAATTTTGGTATCCATGACAGATACGTATTTCGACTACAATGTGCAGTCTTCATCAGTGTCATTCCCACTAAAGAACTTATCAAAATCTAACCCCCTTAAGTACTCATCCCCTAGGTATAAAAGTCAAGATCACAGGTATATAAATGAAACTACAATGTGTTGAATCGGAACCTACCTAACTAATTAAAACCAAAGATTTAAGTAAGCTAAAGGAGAAAAATCTATTCAACTCTCTAATAAGGAAAATCCCAAAGGCTTGGTAGCCATCATAATGAAGTAATGAAATTGGGTTGTTAGCGGAATGCTTTAATAAAACAGCAAAAAAGGTTATCTTCCATTTAATTCCACTTAATTAATTTTGGTATCCATGACAGATACGTATTTCGACTACAATGTGCAGTCTTCATCAGTGTCATTCCCACTAAAGAACTTATCAAAATCTAACCCCCTTAAGTACTCATCCCCTAGGTATAAAAGTCAAGATCACAGGTATATAAATGAAACTACAATGTGTTGAATCGGAACCTACCTAACTAATTAAAACCAAAGATTTAAGTAAGCTAAAGGAGAAAAATCTATTCAACTCTCTAATAAGGAAAATCCCAAAGGCTTGGTAGCCATCATAATGAAGTAATGAAATTGGGTTGTTAGCGGAATGCTTTAATAAAACAGCAAAAAAGGTTATCTTCCATTTAATTCCACTTAATTAATTTTGGTATCCATGACAGATACGTATTTCGACTACAATGTGCAGTCTTCATCAGTGTCATTCCCACTAAAGAACTTATCAAAATCTAACCCCCTTAAGTACTCATCCCCTAGGTATAAAAGTCAAGATCACAGGTATATAAATGAAACTACAATGTGTTGAATCGGAACCTACCTAACTAATTAAAACCAAAGATTTAAGTAAGCTAAAGGAGAAAAATCTATTCAACTCTCTAATAAGGAAAATCCCAAAGGCTTGGTAGCCATCATAATGAAGTAATGAAATTGGGTTGTTAGCGGAATGCTTTAATAAAACAGCAAAAAAGGTTATCTTCCATTTAATTCCACTTAATTAATTTTGGTATCCATGACAGATACGTATTTCGACTACAATGTGCAGTCTTCATCAGTGTCATTCCCACTAAAGAACTTATCAAAATCTAACCCCCTTAAGTACTCATCCCCTAGGTATAAAAGTCAAGATCACAGGTATATAAATGAAACTACAATGTGTTGAATCGGAACCTACCTAACTAATTAAAACCAAAGATTTAAGTAAGCTAAAGGAG